ATATTTTCATTTTTTTTTTACAATTACATCACTTCTAATTCTAATTGCATTATTTATTTTGATTCTCCTATAGCTGCCTCAGATCATAATATGGAATTGGTTCACCATCAAAGAGTACAAGATCGTTATTTTTTATAATCTATTTTTACACTATTAGAATTAACTAAATTACCTTATTCGAAAAACCTTTATTTATGATACAATTTTCAAATCTACAATAATAATAATTATATTTTAGTATGTTATTTTCAATTTGTATTAGTACAAAGTTCGTATTTTAGTGTATCAGTTTTAATGCCTCGATGTGTTCATTTATTGGAATATAAAATTTAAATATAATTTTTGGCTTCAATCTACTGGTTATTCGACATGGAGTACTAAAATTGAAGATTATGTTCACCCGATCATTTATTTTCATCGACATTATTTTGCATGAGATGATCCCAACTCATTGATCTATATAGTGGTTTCGTGGAGGAATTTCAGACTGCATGCTTATTTATATTATACATTTCAAAGTTTGACACGCACTTTGGATAGGGATAAATTTATTTTGGGTTCGAGGTTAGGCATTTGGACTTCAAACAACCGTTCTCCAAATATGGGAAAGTTGAACGTGTTCACGTGAAATCTGGTAATAGATGATTTCATTTTTCATTCCGGTTTTTGTATGTATCACTTGAATTGTAGTTGTCGGATTATATTTAATTTTATTTTCTTAAAATAGAGGATGGTTCTTTATTTTCTTCTATGTTACACTTGATTAATCTTAAATATCCATAACTATTAACAAACAACAATATTATACAACTTGTGCCAAATTTGTAATTATGAGGAGTGATATTTTTTTTTAAGTTGTGGAGGGATACCCAATGTATTAGTTACACATTACTTACATTTTCATGATACATGTGGGGCAATGAATTTTCAATGAAGAAATTATTGAAATAAAAAATCGAAATAGATTGTTGATTCATTCCATTATTTATTATGATTGTTAAACCAAATGAAAAATAATTTCAATCAAAGACCACAGTATTGTTAAATCAAATGAAATTCCCTTTTTTTACGTTTCTTTGAATCGTCAATGAGAAATTGTATCTGAGGGCTTGCGAAGATCGAGGTTCACTAAAATCTCGAGTCCAGATTCAGTGGGTTTTGTCTCCAACTCATCAACACCTTGCCTGCAATTTCAACCTGTATCTATAGCCCCAACTCTCCGATATGAAACCCTTAATATCCCACCAGTGTCTCCCACCAAAGCCGCAACTCCGATCAACAAATTTATAGAAACACAATAATAAAATACATAACCAGAAATCTCCCCAAATTCTTTCAACATTATGCCACAACATTGTGCTTTTTGATTGTTTGTCAATTTCAATAGTGGTATTTGTGAAGTTTCAATAAAAGGGTGACATTGAATAAATAAAATTTTATTGTTTAATATTCTTGATTTATTTAATATTAATAGTCATGTATTGTGTAATATTCTTCATTTATTCAGTGTTAACAGTCATGTTTTAATTTTTAAATTGAATTTTTTTATCCCATAATGTTCATTTGAATAAAACATATTTAATACGTTTTGCACCCGTGATTTATAGCCTATGTAACCCTTAACCCTCCTTTTTTTTTTTGGCCAAACTCCTTTTATTACATTAAATACTAATGAAAGTATAAGGGGGTCTGGTTAAAAATATTGTGGGCCTAACACAAGGAAAACGGTACGAACCCCTAAGAGATCAGGAATAAAAACGGAAAAAAAAACTCTATTACAATCTATTACACAAAATCCCCAAAAGTGGGTAAGACAAGAAATAACTAAAAGAATATGCCTATGCTGATTATTGTAACTCAAATATAAAAAAGGCCCCATATGGGGTTGAAAATGCCAATATCTGAAATATCTCACCACAACCTTAAATTATTCAAGTTTCGCGCTCTTCTCCTACGTTGAGATTGATCCATATTCATCTAGAGTTTCTACGACTGCATTCCAATCCTTATGGTCGAAAGTCCTATATCCCAAAAACATCACATCGATATGCAATCAATACTGACCTAGGAAGGTCGTTTGCCGAAAAGAGTTATTGAAGGTGTTAGTGATTATGCACCCATGCCGCAAGGGGATCGGCAATCGATTTTTTTTTGTCTCTGCACACGTGAGCACTTGAAAGCTGCTGCATAAGATTAAGACATTGATTATTTTGCATCAATTATTTTACATCTTAAGTTTTAAAAAATAATAATAATCTTAATATATATTCCTACTTTGGTTGGATGGAATAATTGAAAACTAATTCACATAATTTAACAAAAATATCAATTGAAAAGTGAATGCAATATTTGAAACTGTAAAAGTGTATATTTCTTTGGTATAATAAATAGCATAACGATACAAAAATTATTGGATCATATAGAATTTAAAAGTAACTAATATTAAATTATTGGAGAAACATTGGTAATAATATATATTATATAATAATGAATGAAAATATATTTTCAGAAATTAATGAATTAAAATAAATTAAAATACTTAAGTTTGTTCAATAACTTAATTCTTAGTGTTTTTAAAATTTTATTTGTTACAAAAACAATTAGATGTTATGTTATTGAATTTGTACCTAACGCAAGATAACATTTTTAAATATTAAGATATGACATTTTGTTAATATATATTTTAATAATATAATATAATTATTCTTTTTAGTTATTCTATCCAATAAAAGATGAATTGTGAAGCTATTAAAATTTGATATACAAATTAAATGTTGTTGTTTTTATCAGTAAATTAAAGGGTAAATTACAAATACCCCCCTGAGGTATGGTCAAATTACAAAAACACCCCTCTTGTTTGGATAATTACAACCACCCCCCTCAACTATGATATTTTCTTACACCTCCACCCCTATTGTGCCAAATTCAACATAATAATCTAGATTCTATGAAATGTGCTCTAGTTTGTACTCATTTTGTGTAAAAATACAGTTTCCGATGCACCACAAACTGATATATACAAGTTAAAAATCACATATTCTGATCATCTTGTTTTATAATGTAGAGTTTGAATGAGATAAAACAGGTACAAAAGTGATAATATTCCATATAATCTCGAAGATTCCACTAAATTTGAGGAGTTGAGGGGGTGGTTGTAATTATCCAAACAAGAGGGGTGTTTTTGTAATTTGACCATACCTCAGGGGGCTGTTTGTAATTTACCCTAAATTAAATGATGGTTGAGCGGGTAAGTGTTACAAATAATACTTTAAGGTGGTAAGTGTTACATGTGATATAATTTAAAGGTACAAAATATGGTACAATTTAATATGGTATAATGGCTATCAAAAATAGGGGGAAGTTTTTTAGTTTTTAATACTACAGGGGAGTGAATGCGACATTTTTGATACTATAGGAGTGCAAACTCTATTTTACCCATTTTCTTAAAATTAAGGATGATTTTTTACTTTCTTCTATGCTACACTTGATTAATCTTAATTTCCCATACCGATTGACAAACAACATTATACAAATTATTCCAAATTTGTAATTATGAGGACTATTTTTTTTTTAAGTTATGAAGGGATATCCAATGTATTAGTTATACATCACTTACATTTTAACTATACATGTGGGGCAATGAATTTTCAATGAAATCTAACGCCCATTTAGTAAACCAGACTATTCACAACATTATGAATGAACATATTTTTCTTTGTTTTCACTAATATTGCTCAACAACTTTACAGATAATCCCCTTCTTTATCTTGTTTGTGTAACAAATTTGCATCTCGCTCACACCATTCTTAAGAATGCCAAATAACATGGCGTCAACATATTATATATTTATTACGACACGTGCAACGCACGTGCACTTTTCTAGTCTAGTCTAGTCTAGTCTAGTAACTATAAAAGTATGAATAATTGGTGATGGTTTCTTCCCTTTTTGTGTGCCCAATATTACCCTTTGGCCAATAGCTTTTTTGATGGATAATATGGTAAATAAACATTACACTAACAATAATGTATATCTATACTAAAAAAAATCCAGAACTACTATTAATATAATTATTAAAAAAATATATTTATTTTACCTCCCATTAACCAATTAAGTTATTAATACATAATAATTAGGATAATCATTAATGCAATATTAACTTATTAAGTGTTATTATTAGCCATTAGGACTCTTGAACGGAGATATACATGACAATAATACTAATTCATACTTTTAATCCACAACTACTACTATAATATTAAAAAAAAATTATATTTGATGCCACCATCCTCTGAATTAATTAGGATAATTATTAATGCAATATTAATTATTTCTACTAGCATTCTTGAACGGAAAAATGAGCATCCAAGCACATTCTCATATAACATAAGAAGATAAAAGACCCTTCAACTATTTACTAATTTCTCAAAAGACACGTTCTATACACCTTTGATTGTTTTAACTTTTCACATTACATACATCAATGGACTCAATTAAAACAGAAATTACAAACTAATAAATACAAAGTAAATACATTTAATAAATTACATTTCATGTAATAAATAATTGATCGGTTAGTTTTTCCTTTTTTTGTGTGTAAAAATTACACATTGGCTAATAGCTATCTTCAAGGGTAATATAATGTATTACAATTATTTAATTAATTATATAATATAAAACAATATTTTGTAATGGACTATTAATTATTTAATTAATATTTATAAATATGTACTATTTATAAATAATTATTTTCCATCTTATTATTTGTAACATGCCAAAAAAAACTGCCAACTAGTCTTAAATTGAAGAAACAATAGTATACAAAAAGTCATTGCTTCTCTATTATAATAAAAACACATGAAGAAAAATTGAGGTCATAATTACAAAATAAAATCTATTTAATTAATATTTATAAATATGTACTGTTTATAAATAATTATTTTCCATCTCATTATTTGTAACATGCCAAAAAAAAAAAAACTGCCAACAAGTCTTAAATTGAGGTCATAATTACAAAATAAATTCCATTTAATTAGTAACAACTGCATATGTCTACAAATTGTACTCCATGCATACATATTCACTCTATAATTCAATTTTCATACCGAACATATCCATATAACACAAAGAGTAGGCACTAAGTTTGATTTTGTGTATCAGGTACATATATACCCTAGGAAACAAATTGATAGAATCAACTTCCCACAAACATGTCTTCATTTACATATTTTTTTATGCAACATCTTTAAACGTTAATTCCAACATAACATTTGTTTCTTACAATACATAAAAAGGAACCAACCATGTCTCTTGCTTCTATGCTTCACATAAGGGACTTACATGTGACGCAAAATCGTGGGACACTTAAACTGAAGGCTTTACGGGTTGGGAGTGAGATAAGCTGCGGGACAAACTTCATTACAAAGCTGAAAAAAATAATTATGATGGACGAATATTAAAAATGGTTGCAGGGTGATCGTATTGGGGTCGTAATATTTAAAGACGACCTACCACATTTTGATGGTTGTTTCTCCCTCACAAGTCTTACATAATCTCGAACACAGTTGTTAAGAATAGAAATCTTTCGTATTTTAGTGCACATTCACATCTTGAAATGGTGTTTAGAAAAAATACCATTGTAAAGGAGGCTCCAACACCAATTGCGGATGACAATCTCAATTTTAATTTCATGGACTTCAAAGATATCGATATCAACGTCCACGCTAAAGATTTAATTGGTATCTTTTTTTTTTTTCATATTGATTAATGAGATTGATTTTTTTATATTTTTTCTTACAAATGTTTGTGGTATACTCATCAAAGTAAAACAATCAAAGATAATAACTTCATTCAAGGGCGGCAAAAAGGATGTTCGAGAAATAACCATAGTTGATAAAGAGTAAATAGAATATATAAATATTACTACCATATTTTTCTTAAAAAAGAACAAGTACTAACTTTATCAATCATTTATCTCACATCTATTGCTCCATACCAATCAATATGTGGGAAGATATGGCACAACATGAAGGAGGCGAGCTCCAAAACATTATTATTATTATTATTTCTTAGACAAAGTGTTAAAACAACTGAATCATCAGTTCCTCTTCATGATGAAGAAATGGTTATAAGACTACTTAATAAAAGTGACTTAATTCCTTTTAAATTCCATAAATTTCTTCATATAGGATGTGTTCAAATTGCCTTCAGACCATTAACTCTTGAAGGATTACCTGAAAGCTTCCTTGCTACTCTTAGAGATGGCAGGAATCTAAATTGGAAACAATCCCTTATGGGAATTATACAATCCAGTCTGGCACATGGTCCAGTCTACTTTGATGTTTATCCTAATCTTTCTTTATCTCTTTCAGATGTAAACATCTTAGATGCTTTAACTTTAAATGTTCTAAGACCTATTTTTTCAAAGGTTCCTAGTTTGTAAACCAGTTTTGGTTCGATTTTAGAGATAGTCCACTTATTAAGTAGATCCAGGTTATCTGGAATGTCATAATCTTCAATTATACTGTTTTTAACAGTATTTTTCATTCCAAAAATATTCATAAGAATATTTTAATATATGTGCCAGATCAAAAACTATATTCTAAATATAACATTCACTCCCATCTAAAACCCATAAATTATAAAGTTTGTGTCAAAAGCAATGAAACAAATCAGTTGCTTAAATATACAAGAAAAACCCAGAAAAGTCCCAACAACGCCTGCGTCACTTCTGGACATGATGGCAACAAGGACAATGGGCACGAAGTATATTTAACCAAACTGATTCATTCGAGCTTCAACATGACTTAAATTTTTGAATTTAAAATGACATTATTACCATGTTAGCAGAAACTATATTTAGTCAAGCCATGATCTAGCACATATACAATCTAGCCGACCATATAGGCGGCAGAAGCTGAAAATAAAGTAATAACAAAATTTAAATACAGAAAATTAAAATACTTACAACGATATAGAAGACCAGTAGCAAGCTTTTATTTATAAAACACAAGGTTTTTACAAGAGAGAGGTTTTGGAGAGAGAAGAAAAGGCCGAAAACTGAATGCCTTCCCAGAATGAAAGACAAGCCTATAAATAGAGAAATCGCGGACATGAAACCCCGGATTTCAAAATAGAAAATAAAACAAAAGGTGATATTTCACCAAACAAATGACTCAGAAGTCAAAAAGGTGAATAATTACCACCACAAAAAGAAATGACTCAAAAGTCAAAAAGGTGATTAGCAATTTTTCCACTATGAAAGACAATAATGCTCATACTTTAATAATGCTCATACTTTAATTTTTGTCGTCTCCTTCATGACTTTAAGAGAGAGTCTTTAAACTCTTCAAATGCATGATCAATGTCTGGGAGGTCTTCAATATCATTATCAATATCATCCTCCGGATTTTGCGCATCTTGCAAAGGATTATTTGACTTGGTAAAACTTGACTCGGAGTTCATGGAAGCATCTGATCCTGAGCTTCTAATCTGTTTAGATATATCCTTGTTCATTTGCTCGAGGAAAATATCAATAATTTTTTCCTTTGGATAGATCTCAGAATATTTCTGAGCAAAGAGTTTGAAAGGACTAGTATTCTCATCTTCCTCTCGTTTTTCTTGATCATTTCTATAAATACTGATTTTTTCTTTTATTTTTTCAATGGTTTCGGAGCCAAATATTTCTCCTGTTTCTGTATCAAGGCGCATGAGTTTTTCCCAGAACTTGCACATGCTAATTCTCCATAAGCATGGAGCTCCGTAGTTGGTATAACCAAAAGTTGGTTTCCACTTCCAGATCCATGGAATACCAAATTCAATAAAAAATATGCAGGAAGTTTTTCCTTCAATGTATTTCTCATTATTTTGAATGCTGGGAGATATGGCTACCCATTCTTTCATAACACTGCTGAATTTTTCAGGCAAAATGTTTGTTGATGGTCCAAAAATTCTCCACCAAGAAAAAAACCAAGTAGGGATTGGTTTGTGAAAAATATTTTCACATATCTTAATAAACCAAGAATGCCTTTGTTTTTTGTTTTTAAAGTAAAAAGTTTTATAAAAACTTTATATATAATCAAAATAGTTGAATTTAAAATTCGTATTATTTTGGGAGAACATCTCTTTCTCACTAAGGGGAGAAATTCCCCATTCCTCAAAAGATATAATCTTTTTAATAATGATTTTGGAAAAGCTATAATTTCCTTTATCTTTTTCATTTCCTGAAGAAAAATGGTTGATCTCAACACTCTTCATATGAACGTGGATATTTTCATAGAATCCTCTTGGTTTGTATGAACCATATGACAAAGAGCTATTACTCAAATATCTCTCCATGATTATCCATGGGTTATCTGCCCATTGTGAGTCATTTTCTTCTATAAGAAGAATGATTTCCTTATTAAGACTTTCAATGTAGAGATGTGAATCATCATCATCTTTTGCAATATTGGCATACGATGTATGTGAACTTGACTCAGGGATATTACCTTCTTTCTGTTGTTTTCGTTTCAAGAATTCTTGGAACTCATTATGAAGTGGATCTTTTGGATTACTAGAAGTAGTACTTTCAGAAAAGCTTTGAGCTATAAGCTTCTTTCTCCCATGCTGAAGGATAGTGTTTGAAGTATCATTTCTTCCATCATAATTTTGATTAGGGGGTTTACCCCTACCACCTCTTCCTCTATAAGAGGAAAGATAGCCACGTCCAGGTGTACTCATTCCTGAAGATTTAGACATGTCAGGTATTCACGAGTTAAGAAGTCAGGAAGATGATTTTCTTCCCCTCGTTTATAGATAAATTGAAAATCAAAAGGTGCTAAATGAGCTTGCCATCTAGCAAACATTTGTTTTGAAACATCATGTTTAAAGTCTTTTATAAACATGAATCTTGCAGATTGACAAGCTGTTTTAATAATAAATTTCTGATTATATAAATCATCCTGGAATTTAAGAACACTTCTAACAATGGCAAGAATTTCTTTTGCAACAGTAGAATAATTCTTTTGTGCATTGTTCCACTTACTAGAATAAAATCTAACAAGATATTCTTGTTTATTTTGGGGATTAATCTGTTTGAGGATTCCTCCAAATCCAATATCAGAAGCATCAGTTTCAATAATTTTTTCCCATTGGGGATTAGCAATCATTAAGCAGGGGAGATTTTTAACCTTCTCTTTGATTTTCCTAACCGCCTCAGTATGTTTATCAGACCAAGGTAAAGGATTTTTCTTTAACCTATCATAAAGAATAGATGAGTCTTTATTGAGATTTTCAATATAAGGGGAAATATAATTCAGACTTCCTAAGAATCTTTGTAACTGGGTCTTATCAGTAATAATATCAGGGAATTTTGATGCAAATTCAATGCTTCTTTGAATAGGAATAATATTTCCCTTTTCAATGTTATGACCGAGAAATTTAATGTTTGTTTGAAAGAGAACCATCTTAGATTTTGAAATGACAAGACCATTTTGTATAACAATCTTTTTGAAAAGTTCCAGATGTTTGAAATGATTTTCAATGTCTTGAGAATAGACAAGAATATCGTCTATATAGACAATGATAAAATCACTATAATGGCCTGGTTTGCCACATTTGTGACATATTAAAGAAGAGTTTCTTTTAGAATTTTTATTCCTTTTAAAAGGATATCTTTCTCTTTCTAGGAGTTTCTATTATTAGTATTACTATTATTATTATTACTATTATTATTATTATTATTATTATTATTATTATTATTATTATTATTATTATTATTATTATTATTATTATTATTATTATTATTATTATTATTATTATTATTATTATTATTATTATTATTATTATTATTATTATTATTATTATTATTATTATTATTATTATTATTATTATTATTATTATTATTATTATTATTATTATTATTATTATTATTATTATTATTATTATTATTATTATTATTATTATTATTATTATTATTATTATTATTATTATTATTATTATTATTATTATTATTATTATTATTATTATTATTATTATTATTATTATTATTATTATTATTATTATTATTATTATTATTATTATTATTATTATTATTATTATTATTATTATTATTATTATTATTATTATTACTATTACTATTATTATTATTACTATTACTATTATTACTATTATTATTATTATTATTATTATTATTATTATTATTATTATTATTATTATTATTATTATTATTATTATTTTTCTTATTATTATTATTATTATTGTTGTTGTTATTATTATTATTATTATTATTATTATTATTATTATTATTATTATTATTATTATTATTATTATTATTATTATTATTATTATTATTATTATTATTATTATTATTATTATTATTATTATTATTATTATTATTATTATTATTATTATTATTATTATTATTATTATTATTATTATTATTATTACTATTATTATTATTATTATTATTATTATTATTATTATTATTATTATTATTATTATTATTATTATTATTATTATTATTATTATTATTATTATTATTATTATTATTATTATTATTATTATTATTTTTATTATTATTACTATTATTATTATTATTACTATTACTATTATTAGTATTAC